GAGTAAAAAATAGAAGTTTGAATTGAACTCTTTTTTTTTAGCCGAAAAAAAAAATATATATATATATATATATTTAGACACACAAGCATGCTATTACCCCTTTTCTTTTATTAAAGCCCACTTGGGGTTTGGTTTAGCTTTTAACTTAGTTTCTTTACAATTTGTATATATATAAGGTTTTCTATTAACAAAATAGCATTTTGAGAGTTAATCTTTAATATTCAAATTAGGTATAAGAATGTTTATATCAAGGTTAGGCATGTATGATGCATCCTTGTTATTGTTGAAAGTCAACTAGAAATGATGTATATATGTTAATTTGAAAATATCACTTCTAATTTTTCTTTTGTGCAAGAGAAAGAATATGCTTATCCATTTGGGAGTTCAAACCATTTGATAAAGTGCACTCGGTTTATGTTTGATTCCTCTCTTGTGAGTTGTGTTCACATCTCATCTCTTGTCAGCAAATTCTAACATTTAAAAAAAGAAAGAAAGAAAAAAAAAGGCTTTGGAAGTCTTCCCTAAGAAAAGCATCATTTTTTTTAAAATTTCTCACCAAATTTGTCTAAATATAAAAATAAAGCTATGCTAAGCCATTTTAAGATACTTCATATTGGAAATGTGTTTGGTATATAAGTTTGAGATTAATTGTTAGTTGTTTAAACTATTTAGATAAATAAAAATATTTAAATTATAAACAATAATAAATAATAAATATTAATATTGACTACCCATTATTCATTGCATTTGAATTAATAATCCAAAAAACTCTTGACATGGGCGGAGGTAGAAATTTTTTTCAGGGGGGCTAAGAATTAAAATTTTCAAAGTTCAGGGGAGGTTAGATGTTTTTTCATATACTAATTTGCAAGATTTTCAAATTTCAGGAGGCCAGCGCCTCCCCTCGCACCCCCTGGCTCGTGAGATGTATTTATTATAAAGATTAAGAAGAAATACAAACTATCAATGAATGATAATAATAGCAACAATTATACAAATATGCTAAAGATATAAATTCAATAATGAAAACAATAGACAAAATTAATAGTTTTTTTTATTTATTGTAAAACTGTTCTCTAATTAGTTTTTACATATTTTAAAATTAATTTTTAAAGTAATTTTAAAAATATATTTCTTATATGAGACTAGTGTTAAACTCAAAATTTGATCTATAAATTTATCTTTAATTGTAAAATTTAAAAGTTAATTGAATTTGATTTTTCTTTTTTTTGGCTTGTAATTGAATTTGACTTAAATAGAATTTGATTATTATGAAGGAAGGATGGCAGTTCCATGAAAAGGTCAAACAAAGTGGGGGCAAAATCGGGAGAGGGAGCGAAAAAGTTATAATGAAAAATTGTGGGGTAGTTAGTGGATGATTACGGAAAAAAGGTGGACGTTGCTATATTAGATAAGAGGCGCGTCATGAAGGGCCCGCATTTATACAATTTTCAATTTCTGCCCCCACAGTTATAGCTTTTTTTAGTTTTGCTACGGTCCGTCCACGTGTTCTCATCCCTCGCCCTCTTGCCTTCACTTTCAAGCACAGAATTGAAGCACAGAATTGAAGCACCACCTAGAACCACCCACCTAGAAAGCTCTCCTGGGAGAGACGACGGGGAAGGTTTGTCCATCTCAGGGACTGAAGGGTTTTTTGTGGGAAAGGACAAGCAAATTGGGGTTTTTCTGATTTGGGGTTTGATCATCTCTCTGGGTTTGGGAGCGTTTTGGGTGTTTCCTTTTCTCGAATTTATTGGGAGATGTACGTGGGTTCTATGCGAAAATCGTTCAAGGACTCGCTCAAAGTGCTCGAAGCCGACATTCAACATGCTAATACTCTGTAAGTATGATTTCACTGATGAGTTTTTGGGATTTCGTCTGTTGGGTTTCGTTTTTCTTCAATTTTTCGTAGGTGAAATAAATGCTAGTTCCTGAGGTTAAAGTTTTGAGCTTTAAAGTTTGCCCCTTTTTGGTGTGTGTTGGTAGACTTGATTTCACTCTTTGTTCGGATTTTCCTGCCATAAGATCATCATGGGTTTCCTGTAATATATTCCTCCTTTTTACAAAGAATTTGATTATTTTCCATACTCTAGTTTCTGATCCATGTCCACTTTACCCTGTTGGGTCCTTTCAGTTATCACATTTGAATTTTTTTTTTCTTGCATGGTAATATTTGTTTCCTTTTTGTTATTGGTTTTATACTTTTTATTAATTCATGAAGAGGAGTTTGTCTTTTCCTTAGCTTTACCTCTCTTTTAATAATTGCTGTTATATCTTTTGAGTTATTTCGCCCAGCACTGTGTAATGGCTATCATAGGTCAGGTTATGCTTCTTTTACGGTTACCTCTTACTTTAAATGACACTAGATATTTTCTAATTGTTAGTAATTTTATTGCATTGCATGGCTTTGGTATGTCCAAATCTAAGGGCTTGAGTGTGTGGATCTATTTGGTTATCTTCATGAATTGCGTCCATCTGAATTCACGTGTCAATGGATTCCACTTGATGATATAATATTGACACTGTCGTATTTCAACTGCTGGTCCCATCTCCTATACTGCTGGATTGCACTTTTTTTTTTTATTATGACTTTTGGGGTATTAAATTGAGCTGCAAATTTTAATATGTTATGTCCTAGCTGTTGGTCATGCTCTGTGACTTGGTGTTAGTGTTTTGGAGGATTTATGTTGATTTTTTTTAAAATTCTGGCTTAATTTTATCGTTATGCTCTTTTCTTTATTTTCAAATGCTAACGCTGCAATGCAAGTGTAGGGCATCTGATTTTCCGAGGGAGTATGATGGTGCCTGCCTCCAAATGAGAATGTCATACAGTCCAGCTGCACACCTGTTCCTCTTTTTGGTGCAGTGGACAGACTGCCATCTTGCTGGAGCCCTTGGACTTTTAAGAATATTAATTTACAAGGTCACATTTGGTTGCTTTTGATGACATTCTCCTTCTTCTTGTTTCTTCTCATAGTTCCTTTCCAAATCTTGAAAGGAAAAATCTTTTCCTGTTCTGCAGGTTTATGTTGATGGCACTACAACCATGTCTACTCATGAAAGGAAAGCAAGCATTAGAGAGTTTTATGGTATTTTCTTAAAGCATTTTGATCCACTTTGCTTATGTGGACTTTAATTTGTGTCCTAATGAGTCTCAAATTCCTCCTCTGGCCAGCGGTAATTTATCCTTCTCTTCTGCAACTTCAAACGGGTGTCACTGATACCGAGGATAAAAAGCAGAAGGCAGTTTGCATGGAGAGGTACAGAAGAAGAGACGATGAGGAGCATAGACAATTTACAGATGTTGATTTTGAAAGAGAAGAAGAATGTGGAATTTGCATGGAGATGAATAGTAAGATTGTATTACCAAACTGCAACCATGCCATGTGCTTGAAATGTTACCGTGACTGGTACAGATCTACTCTTTCTCTCTCTCTGTTCTTTAGTTCTTAAATCAACCTACTGGTCTATGTAGTTGCTGGATTTTTGTCTTCATAGTATATCACCCAGATATCGCTGCCCTGGTAATTTTCCTTTTCTGTGTCCTCATATTACATAGGATTGTGGTCCATACACAATACATTTAAATTGAATAAGGGTGCGTGAGATTTCTGTAGGATTCTGCATTACTGTTGTTTTTGTATGGTAATTAGCATGTCAATGGAGTCAATGGAATGAAGAAAAGATTATAATAAATAATAACCTGTAGTTTCGTAGCTTCATGTGTAATGTGTTGCCAAAAAATGTGAATCTTCCTAGTTGAAAAGTTGGAGCTCAGAAAATAGCACTTAAGCTTGTGACAGTGCATGTGTGTAGTGCAACTTGTTCATCTCTTAAGATTTCCTGTCATGTTGACTTTGTTACCCTTTAAGGAGAGTAATGTACATGTGGTCCTTTCATTTCTGGATTTCCTGTGCTTGATGTTTTGAATTAACTTCCTTTATGTTTACATGTACTTTACTTTCTCCATCTCTGAAATCAAGTTTTGAGTTTTCAAGAGTGAGAATATTTGTTTTTGATTATGGAAATTGCTTAGATGTAAAGCTCTGTTTAATTGTGATTGAAGATTTAGTTTGATCAAGCCGTTTAAAAGAACTAGTTGTGGTTAGCTTCATGTTACTTTACTAACTGAAAGAAAGAATTGAAAAATGAAAAATGAAAAATATACCAAGGATTTGGTTGCACCAGTAATATATAAAAATACTATTAGAGAAAAAAATTTCAGGTCATAACCCTTTCCTTTTTTGGTTCTAGATCTTAGCATTTCTCTTTATCCTTTCTATGGTTTAGTAAATATTCTCAGGTACTTCTTAATTCCTTCCATTCTGAGGATTGCGACTGCCAACTGAGCAATTTTTTTTTTACTCATTCTATGTTTCTCATTGTCATAGATGTTTATTCCAATGAATTTCAGGCGAACAAGATCGCAGTCATGCCCCTTTTGCCGTGACAATCTGAAGAGAGTTAACTCTGGTGATCTCTGGGTATATACAGACAGCAGGGATATTGTTGACATGGCCATGGTGACAAGGGAGAATCTGAGAAGGCTCTTCATGTATATAGATAAGTTACCTCTAATTGTCCCTGATACTGTTTTTGACACATATGATTCCCACGTAAGATAGGCTATAAGTACATGCTAAGTTTCATTCTGTGAGAGGCTTTACTTGCTTCTGCCCCTTTTCTCTTGATCACATAAAGAACGGGCAAATTAGTGGTAGCCCGTACTGCAGTGCTTTCTTCCCACTTCTCATCAGAACACAGCCCGGGTTATTGTGGACTGGGAGGTGAAGTTGAGATACTTCAACTAGGAGTGGATAAGGTGTACTTGGCACATTTGTACATGCTTGTATAGCTTGAACTATCATACTATTTTCTCATTCAGGTGTGCATCGATGTCAACAAATTCTGTTTACTCAGCGCTTGTTTTCAATCAATGCCATGCAAACAGCAACTATTTTCTCAATGTGGTGATTTAATCCTGGGCCTCAACTCAACTAATTATGTAATTTTGCATACCTGTAAATCTTGATCTTCATCAATGTGAATTTTGCATGAGATTTCAAAGTTCAAACACTCGTCATACAATTTTCTTAATGGATGTGGTTATAACTACATATTATTTTATTAAGGTCATTCAATTTTGCTTAGTTAAACGGATAAAAATAATTAATAATTAATAATTATTATTTAATATATTAAAATTAATTTATAAATTAATATTTTTAAACGTAATTAATTACTTAAAAATTATAAATAAATAAAATATTAATAAAACTAAATATTTTTGAGTGGCCTTAATAAAATTGGGAGGGGGTGCAATTCTCACATATCCAAATCCAATTCACTGGGCATTGGAATGTATGAAAATGAAATGATTTTCCGTTCGGATATTTCTATGTCAGTGTCAGGATTCATATTAAGAGGGAGCAGATTCCAAGATACAAGAAAAGGGGAGGGCAGGAAATACCGAAGGGTCCCCTTGGAAATGGTTTAAGTAATTATTATATTTGCACGAGGGGGCACACGAGGGGCTGTGCCCCCTCAGGCTTACAATAAAGTTGTAGCCAGGCTGTGTCTGGAGGGGATAAGGTTTTCAAGTTTGTATCATCACATGAGTCGGTTCTCTTCTCAAGTCTTAAAACTTTAACTAATATTTTAAGTTATCACTTGGTTTTTC